TGGAAAAAATCCTCCATAACTATTCTAGAAAAAGAATTCACCACCTCTCCTTGCCAAAATTAAAATAAAATACAAATCCATGAAGATAGCCAAAAAGAATGTAATGCTAAAACTATAACAACACAATCCTTTTAAATAAGACAAAAAGGTTTCTTTATTCTTTAGTTTAAGAAAAGTTAAACCAAAGCATTATAAGCAACAGGAAAGGTGTGTGTTTGTTTAATGCCTTGGTCTTAGTAGGTAGAACTGCTGACATTGTGAGATTCTTTAGTATCCACAGGACTCTAAAGAGAAAAAAATTACCCATCAACTGAAATCCAAACATAAACTGGTTACAACTTTCTAGGTCTCCTCAAAACAATGCAATTATTATGGATGTGTCACAGGGTCATAACAATATTTATTCCAAGTATCCCCTTACAAATGCACTATTTTCCAAATGTCCCAGGTATTGCAATTTTACAGTCAGTTTTCCTACTTCCATGAAACAGAAATTTTAAAGAAATTTCCATTTAGGCTAAGGAGAAATAACTCTTTGAGTGTTTCATTTTAATATATTAGCTCTCTTTCATAGGCCCCATGCCGATATTGACAGACTTCTGGTTCTTTTGATATCACTTTATTCTGATAACAYAGTATGGCAGTTAATGTTCTTTAAAGGAAGTGTAGCTTTCTGTAGTCTATAGTTTTTAAAATACACAGTTAAAAGAACTGGCAATTTGGAGATTTTTATTCTTCAAATACTGTAGATTGTTTTTATTTCCAAGTGTATTAACATCTCTTAGAACACAAAATAAAATCAAAAAGCCTGCCAAAGCAGGGGTTTCATTTTCTTCCATCAGTTCTCCCCCCAATCTAATATGGTACTCAGCAAGAAACAAACAAAAACTCAAATTTTCATTTGAGACAGCCTAACTGGGGTTGAAAAATCTTTCATTCTTCRGAAAACACCTACTGTGTACAAAACWCTATATGACAGGTAGTAAAGATAAATGTTTAAACAGAAGAGACTCAATCCCTGTCCCCTTGGAGTTTTTAGTCCAACAAATGGACCACAAATTTACAAAATATTCAGATAACTATACTTCTACAAATGTGATGAACACTATGAAGAAAAAGTAGGAGTGCCATGAAGTATATAAAGAYTCGATCTACCTTGTGAAGCGAGGAATGGCTTTCCTGAGGAAGTCATGCTTGCACTGAAGGAAGAGTATTATTAGATAGAGATAACTTGGCAAAGAGCAAGAAAAAAATTATTGTCAGCAGGGAACAAGAGTACATGCAAAGACCTTGAGGTAAAAGGAAACGTGATGTTAAAGGCACTGAAAGAAAGCCAACTGATAGAATTCATGAGAATGTTGTTACAAGGATACCAAGGAGGAGGTTACTGCAGTTGTGAGAGATAATAGCTGAAATTAGGATAGCAATGAAGTTAASAGAACAGAAGCCAGATTCAAGAGATATTTAGATATATCAGGGCTAGTGTTTTAAAGATGACAGATCTCAATTTCAGCTGTGAGACAAAATCTAAGTTTTGATGTTCCCCAATGAGCCAGATAGTTAYTGCAGAGAGATTCTCTAGAGGCAGTCACATCTTACAAGGTTGATTATAGGAAGAGTACCAGAAAGCTATGACCAGGATTACAGTGAAATCAAGCATGTATTTAAAAATAATTATATATTATAGGTCTCACCTCCCAATTGTCAGTTAGATAAAGATTACTAGGATATGCAAGGTTCACATTGGTAACATCACAATATATCATTTATTTTCTCTCCTTTGTGCTTCATGAAAAGAAGATTTCAAGATTTAGGGGGAAGGAGGCTTAAAAATTTATATTATGAGTCAACTAATTCTCAGCATAAATCTATAAAATAACATTTTGTCTTAGGAATATCATAGTATACTTGAGAACATTAGGCAAAAGAAGTCAGCCACCACTTATTATATCTTAAAAGATACTACACTGTCAAAGAAACAAATATTGGGGTTTTTTATTTGTTTTGAGCTCTGGGGATTGAACCCATGAGTTCTTTATCACTGAGCTACATCCCAGTTCCTTTTTTTTTTTTTTTTTTTCCCTTCAATTTTGAGACAGGATCTCTCTTGCTAAGTTGCTTAGGGCCTTGCTAAATTGCTGAGGCTGGTCTAGAACTTGTGATCCTCCTGCCTCAGCCTCCMCAGTCACTGGGTTACAGGTATGAATCATCATGCCTGGCACAAAAATATTGTTTTATGATATAAGTTACCTATGTTTAAGATGTATAGTAAGAGTAGCCACTTCTACACAAGTAGCTTTTTAATCTGGAAAAAAATACAATACATACACTTGTCATTCCTTTCTTTGTTTCAGATAATAAACACATTTCTACGAGTCATCTGTTTTATGTAACCAGTATAAAAAAATTTTCTATTAAATCCAATAATAAGCTTAGTTAATAGGAAGCCTACAGTGCCCTTTTACAAAAGGACTATTTCCTACATACCCCAGTACTGGAATTTTGTAGTTAGTTTCCCTACTTCCATGGACAAGACATTTTAAATAAATAGCTTAGGAAAACAATGTCTAGTGTTTCACTTTAACATACTAGTTSTCTTTCATATGCCTCAGCCTAAACCACACACATGATGGACCTACCTTAAGAAAATACATTTTAAAATCTTTTTCTTGCTACTTGAAATTCCCATAAAAAATTACCCGCCTTTAGTCCTAATCCTAAGTGGCCCAATGCGTATGTATTCTCCCTTGGATACTACCCCACTAATATAGCATGCTTGTAATTTTACAAACTTTCTAACACACCGTGCTAAAAGACAGTAATTAATACTGTAGTACTGAACAGGAATACTAGCATGAAAGAAAACACCCTTAGTCAAAATTCTAAACTGAGCACATACAAGAAAACTAAATTACACTTTCCTATTAGTGACCTATAATATAATTAATAAAATCMAGAAATGTCTTATTTATGCTTCTGAAATYCTTGAATTGATAGTAAAAATGACATATCTGCACTGACAGGAAGATATACTGAATATACACTAATAAACTAATCTCTAAACTATCAATAAATCAGTCACAGAACTTCAGGGGAAAAGAGGACCTTGGTGAGTATCTAACACTCTCATTTTACAGATGAAAACAGTAAGGGACAGAGGAGAAATGTAATGAGATCATATATACATGATTTCTGAATAAAACTTAATACATACAGCATGAGAGAACTCAGGTCTGGTTTCCCATATGGTACTTTTCCTAAATTTTCAAATTTAAAAAACTTTTTTTGTTCTAATCTATGTATGAATTGAAGCATACATAATTCCTGAATAGGGTTTAATTCCTGATAGTTTAAGGGCAAACAAATTTATATTTTTAAGTGCTATATATCATACTACATAGTTTCACTTCATACACACTATGACACCAAATTCTCTAGACTCACAAATTAAAATATTAAACTAAGGGATATTTTTTAATTAAAAAATAAGTTTAAAAAATGCAGAACAGTCTTAAGAAGTCAAAAAGGAAATATGCAACTCTAAAGGCTAGTCAAAGGGAGAACAAATCCTAGTTTTGCCTCAGTGATATCTGAAAAGTAGAGTGGGAAGATCTAACCTCATGTTCTGTTATCTAGGACCCTCAGGTTTTTCCCATCAAGATCTCCTACTGCTCCCTCTTCAACCTCCCTCCCCAAATAACTACCCAACCACCTGGATGGAGTTTCCCAAAGCCTCAGGGAAGCTTCRTTACTCACAATTCACTCTGCTCCATCCCCCAAAATGAATCATTCTCTATGTTCTCTGTGTTTAGGAAATCAGAAATAGAGGTCTCATTTAACTTCCTTTTATGGATGGAAAAGGTGGCAAATGTTTTAAGAAATGACTTTTGAAACCGWGCACAGTGGTACACACCTGTAATCCCAGCAACTGAGAAGGCTGAGGCAGGAGTATATAAAGGAGTATAAGAAGCCCCTAAGTTGCAGACCCAGAAATTTAGGGARACCTTGTCTCAAAATAAAAAAAATAAAAAGGGCTTAGGATATAGCTCAGTTGTGAAGTGCCCCTGGGTTCAATCCCCCAGTACCAAAAWAAATAAATAAATAAAGGACTTTTGAAAACTTCCAGGAGATTAAGCCTTGGGAGTCACTGGCTTCCCAGAAAAAAATATAAAGAGACAGTCAGTAACAAAAATTTTCAGAAACTGAAGTCAACCAAGTCTGAGTACCTCTAAGACAAGCATATCCTGAAAAATCTACCTACTTTAAGAGTAACCATCTTTTATCTCTTAGTAGTAGAGCTCCAATACCAATCCAATCTTCTAATAATGTAAAACTTCCACAGCATGTYTTTCCCCTCTGCCTTGAACAACAAACAGACCATGCCCACTAACTTCCTATTCCAACCAAATATTTTTATTCCTTTAACAATACTCTTGATTCTGCTTTATATCTTGCAAGAGCTGTTTCTGATTTTTAAAAACTCTTCTTGGATCATCTTAAACTTGGAAAGAAAAAAGAAAGCTGGACCAAGATTACATTTGGCATGTGGCTACAGGCATGGACACATGCTGCCAAGTCTGTGGACTTGCTGTCAGCACAGTCAAGAGACCTCTCATCTGAACAGTCCCAGCAAGAACTTTTTGTCTAATCAATGGAAGGGTAACTGATGTGATACAGCAATCTGTATACGGGGTAAAATTGGGAGTTCATAACCCACTTGAATCAAACTGTGAAATATGATGTATTAAGAACTATGTAATGTTTTGAACGACCAACAATAAAAAAAAAAAAGAACTTTTTGTCTTTCTAAATTCTATTCCTTCTTTTCAACAGAAAGCCAGGCTATGATTCCTAGACCTTATTATTTTAAAAGTGCCCAATCCCCAGGGTAGTGGTAAAGAAACCCATTTTGTATTGCTCCGGAAGTGGCATTAGAGGAAAAACACAGGTCAGTAGGAAAGGGACTCTGGATTTGTGTTCCCTCCCTCCTAGACTGCTACCTGTTGGCAGTGCTGGTGGTGCTGCTCCCGCTGCTGTGTTTCTGTGCCCGGCTCAACCTCCGTGGGGGCTTTGAATGCTGTAGCCGGGGGTTCGGCATGGAGGGGAATGATGAGGCGTAGCCATGTTCACACTCTAAAGAGAGCAAGAAAAAGAGACTTCAAAATAGACATCCCTAGATGAACACATCCAGGGTCCCTGCAGCCACAGGCTTTGGAGAGCGGCAAGAGGCAAAGGGTTCCCTTCTCTGTTCAGAAGGCAACCGCGCTGGCCAGGACACGGTTCCCGCGGCTGACTCGAGCCCCTCCAAGGTGCTCGACGGCCCTCCAACCCAGTCCCGCCTCCTCCCACCTCCTCTCCGAAAGCGCCCCCCGGACTAAACACCCGTCTATCCCAGACCCGTTACCTGCCACCCCACGACGTCCCCTCAGAATTCCCCATTAACTCTCTTCATGCCCCAGGATGTCCTCCACATACCTCAACGACCGAGTCCCTGGGGCCTCCTCCCTCTCGACGCCAAGCTTCCCGCTCCCGGTTTCGGCGTCGCCTCCCACCTCGCACGGCCCAGTCTCGACGCGCGACGCCCACGTCCCCTTTCCCAGTGCGGTCGCCGAGCCCCCGAACCCCCGCCCCGCCCCAAGGCGGTCACGCTCGCTTAGGTCGCCTAGCCAGCTCGCTGGCCACCGGGATTCTGCCCTCGCGCGCAGGGGGTCCCGCACGCCCCACCCTCCAAGCACGAATGCACGCCCACGCGCGCCACCCCTCTCGAACAGCTGTCTGCCCTCCCACGTGTGCGTCCTCTCACATAACTCGCCCGCACCTCTAGGCACACAAATCACCCCTCGCAGGCGCGCGCACCGCCACTCACGCGCGCCCCCTCACTAAGAGACGCGCGCACCTTGCCTCACGCGCGCGCCGCTCCTCACACACACGCGCGCACCTCCCCTCACCAGCGGCACCGCACGTTCCATGCGGAGCAGAAGCGCGCGGGCTCAGACAGCGGTGCCCAGCSGTTACCTCGCTCCCGGCGCTCCAAAAACTCGGCGGCCTCCAGCAGGCGCTGCACGTTGATCATCCGCACCCGCTCCATGGGCACYGCGGGTGGCGACCCGGCTACTCCGCGCTCCCGTCCCTGGCCGACAGGAGGCGCCACAGGCGGCTACAGCCCCGCGCCGTCCCGGGACATGTGCGGCGGGCGGGCGGGCCAGCCCGGCCGCGGCTCGGCGCGCTCTCGGCCGCCCCCGCCGCCTCCGCCGAGCCCGCCGCGCCCGCCGCGCAGCCTGCGCGCGGTTTGTTTACCTCTCCGCGCGAGCACGGGGGAGGGGCGGGAGCAGCGCTCTGGCCCGCCTCCTCCCGCCCCTTCCTCTGCCCCYCGGGAAATGTAGTCCCTCCCCGCCCACTGCACACTGGGAGTCGTAGTTCGCATGCCGCCTCATAGCGCCTGCGCCCTGCGGAATTCCGCGATGGCCGCTGGGAGATGTAGTGTCCTGTGTTTCCTTTTCTCYCTCGAGGGTGGAAAGACTAAGAAGTTACCAGGGCTTTACTTCTGAGCGGGAAGGATTTGAGMGTGCTATCTACTCCCAAGTCGGCTCGTTTCTCAGCAACTACCCGCGGGGAGTATAAGGAGTATTTCTTATCCAAAACTGCCGCATTCCAGTCCTCTACTACTGCTTTCTCCTGTAACTTCTGTGCCTCGGTTTCTTTATCTACAAAATGAGCAAAGTAATACGTTGCAAGAATAGCACACACAGAAACACTTGGGAAGTCATGATCGCTGTTCAAAAATAAGGGATCATTTCATCAGAACYGGAGAGAGAATTTTTTAACATTATCTTTTCCTCAGTCCTTCACCAGTGCTTTTTAAAGCACCAGTAAAATCATTCTGGTGCCGCAAGAGAAGGATATAATTCAGTGGATACGTGATTTGGTGCTGGAGTTACACCAAGTTCAGTTTGATCTGGATTCTGCTACTAAGCTAGCTGTATGAATTCTGCACGCCTCACTTTCTTCTCTTTTTCCCCCCAATAATTTTTTAGTTGTCAATGGACCTTTATTTTACTTATTTATATGCAGTGCTGAGAATGGAACCCAGTGCCTCACACACGCTAGGCAAGCGCTCTACCACTGAGCTACAAATCTAGCCCCCGCTTTTTTTTTTTTTTAAATGTATAAAAGATATAATTCCTCCACTTGTCCATTATGTTGAGGTCCTGCTATATGCCCGGCACTGAACCGGACAATGTGTATTGTAGTCACAAAAACAGACATGGACGCTGCTTTCAGCAGCTTTTTAGCAAGCTTGTGGTGAAGATTAAGTGAGATAATTTCAATACTCAGCTCATACTGGGCACTCAAATGGAAGCTATGATGATGACTGTTTCCTCCCAAGCTGAAGGAAGGAAAAGGTTGAAAAGTAACTGAAAGCAGTGGCTAAAGAAAGGAGATCATATTAAAAGCTCTCACTACCACTCTCTCCAATTTCTTCATCTAACAAATCCTCCAAGTCCACACTACAGTTTCTCAATCTTGGCATTATTGCCATTATTTGCCAGATAATTCTTTCTTGGAGGAGCAAGGAGTTCTGTTCTGTGCATTGTAGGATGTTTAGCCACATCTCTGGCTTCTACCCACTAGATGCCAGTAGCACACCACCACCCCTCACACATGACACCCCAAAATGCCTCCAGACTTTGCCACATATCTCCTGAGACACAAAATCACCCCCAATTCAGAACAACTATCTAGGGAGAGGAAAACAAGAGGATTAGAACTGCAAATGATCTAGGAACATGCTAGGAACTGTGTCAACATATCCATAACTTCTTCCCACTCTGATTATTTAAWACTGCTGGTGGACATACAAAGTAATAAGAAGCTCTTAGAGGAGAATTCCCCTTTCCTTGAGGTCATTCCACTAGCTATTGCAGAAAATATCATCTTGGGATGAACATCTTATCCTCTCAAAAATGTKATGGGTTTCGTGCTTTCATGCTGCATTTTAACACCCTCTCCCTCTTCTCCCCCCCCCGCGCCCCCCCCCAAGTGAACAGGAGCTCCAATGAGGTCACAAACTGCAAAGTTCTGCTAGCCCATTTAAATGTTATACTTGGCACAACATTTAAGAAGCAGATGTTCCATCAAATTCAGGGAGACCCAAAATGAGAGGTGTTCATAAGCCACAGGAGAATTTTTTTTTTAGGGCTTTGAAAAAGGGATTGTGCTTTTTCAGCTGTTGGCTAGGTCACTTCAGATCTCTGCTTTCCCACTGAGTGTTCGTAAAGACCACCCTACATCCTCAACAAGGGATGTGTCAGGTAGAGGTGGCAAGAAATGGCTTAAAATGCCACTCAGAACATCTGTTGAAGGAAGAAATTATTCAGTTGAAAGTTTAGTTTCCACCATTTCCAGAACCTCTTTAAAGCTTTAGAGTCTCAATTGAAAAAGGCTACCCCCAAAAACTTGAAGGAGGCAGTTTATGACAAATAAAAGTTTACTTTACCCAATGGCAGGTAAACCTGAGTGATATGCAACCAAGAAAAGTAACACAACCTGAAAATATACATGAATTCAAGATGGGTTTAATTCCATAGATCATAGAGCCAGAGCACATTAGTAACAGAAAGTTAAAATAGATGTGTGGGGCCTGTGGGTGGCCCTTCACAGTTGACCTTAGGGTGAATTTGACAGCCTTTTCTCAAAAGCCATGGCCAAGAGGCAGATGAGGAGATGGACACAGCATGAGAGTCACACTAAGGTCACCAGCCCATGGTGAAGAGGAGAAGAGGTAGTGGTGATGGTGGGCAGTGGGCAATGTGAAGGGCTGGTTTATGCACAGACATCTCCAGCATTTTCTAGCAATAACTGAGGAATGAGGAGCCGCTGCTTCTCCCTGTTCCGGATGCCTCCTGAAGGCCTTGCTTGGCCACCAGGGCCTCCCACAGCAAAAAGCGCTGGGTATTATCATCAGGAGAGTGATGCTACCCCAAACCATCCTGAGCACCAGGCTTCAGTCTGAGGCAACTCAGAGACAGCCATGGCTTTTCTTTTGCTCAGATGAACCCAGCTTACACTACAAATGTAGTTGGGCAAATGGGAAAGGTAAGGGCTGCCAAAATCTACTGGCATAAAGAATCTGGAATCTTACCGGTAGTTTCTGATTCTGTCTTCTCCTTCCAGTATTTCTCGMTGGGGAAATCTCCTTTGAAAATGGAAAAAGTCTCCCAGAGTCCCCAGGCCCTTTAATAATCACAACCTGGACGGGGACAACCTACCTTCTGAAGAAAGTTGGTGAAGCTCTCAATTGTTTGGGTGCMCTCTCCTCTCCACCCCCCATCCCTACACAGTGTACTAAATGCAAATTTCTAAGTGATTATTGCAAATTCATAACACTGAAGGCTGATGTGTTATATCTCTTCTGCAGAGAGGAGAGATGGAGAGGGAGGGGGGGGCCTGAGGTTAAGTTACAAGTCCAAAGTCACCAGGTTGACACTTGGTGCTTCAGACAGTTTCCCCAGATCTGCAAAGTGCTTTAGCCATGTAAGCACTGTTTTCTGCAATTATCTTGAAGGGGGAGGGGGGTTCAAATAATCAAGGTTGCCCACCGGGGAGGGTCAGCTCTGAGGTCCTAAATGAGAACAGTAACAGATATCTTTCCATCCCCCACCCCAAAACAAGGACCACAGCCTCCTCCCCTCCTCTTCCCCCAGGGCCCAGAAACGTGAAGAACTGCAGAAAACCTTCCTCTGCCCAGTGAGTCAGCCCTGCCTAACTTCATGCGTAAGCTCTCCTCGAGTCAGCGGCAGCTCAGAGCTGCGGGTCTGTGTGCAGCCGAGATAAATTTGGGTCTAGAAGGGATGACGTAATGCTAAACCCGAGAGGTGGCTGCCTCCTCCCAGGGCTCTGGTCTCCAGGGCTGCCGGCTGACATCCCAACCTCACGGAAAAGCACCAAGCTACCCAGGTGCCCCAGATGGGAAGAAAGGGAAAGGACAGGGGGAGGGGGCAGCGGCAGGGGGGCAGTGTTAATCCGAGATGGCTGAATCTGGAAGTTTGTTGTTTTTTAACTCCAGTTTTTCTGGTGAGATCAGACCACTGGCAAACGCTCAAACAGCTGCACTTGACTTCCATCCTGACCCA